TCAAATTAAGAAAAAACCCATCAATGAGATCACCTTCTATTATATCTTGCTGTAATGTACAATAATTATTTAAAAAAATCTATAGATTAAGTATTTTAAATACTTTATCAATTTACTAATATATATATTATTCTTATATTAAAATGTCAGTTCATAAAAATAATAATTACAAATCAAATCTAAATAAAACAATACATTTCACTATTTATATTTGTAGACTGATAATGATCAAACCAAGCAAACGATGATAATTTGCTGYCAGTCTGTAATAATTCGGAGAATGAAGATTGTGAATTAATAGSTAATGAGTTATTGAGTGCATGTTTATGAAAAATAGAAATGTTATATTACACTGGTCTTTTGAGGAAAGTGAAGATAGGAATTGGGTCTTGGTTTTAAAAATGAAATTCTTTTGTCAATTTCGAAATTGAATAACGTGCTCTATCTATGTTTAAATAYATTAAACTTGACTAAATTAAACTTTGTTAAACTTTAGTCGATATAACAATTTAAATATTATGTGACATAATATTATGCCATGTTTTACTGAATTATACTTATTGTCGTAGAAATAATTGATAAAATAATGATCATCAATCATCAGTACGATGGTGAAAGAATTCGTTATATTTATGAAAATTATGTTCCTACAAGATTAAATAATTATCTAATAAGTTTTTCAATTTAAAAGTATKATAATTATTCTTGTCAGTATTAAAACCATAATTAGGTTTTTTTATTTTTATAGCTAATAATAATAAAATATATATTATATCCTATGTATTTTATTAGATATTGATTTTTAATCATATATTGTATTGACTTTTATAATAAATTCATAAAAAAAATTGATGTTTTTAATTTGTCGGAATTGTATTCGTTTCACATCTGATGATGTATAATAATAATATTATAATACATATAACTATATTGCATAATATTATATTAAAAAGTTTTGAAACAACTAAGTAGGTAGTTCATATAGCTGTAATCAACTCTGCGAGTCTATAATGTTCGATATGAAATGTTTTCTAAAAAATCAATAAACTCCCAGAGATTCACGTGGTTTCAAACAATAATTTCAATAATATCAAAATAATACCGTGACAACACAGATATAATATTATGTTTACTAAATTATATAAACGGCTTCAATCTCCATATCTCATAATAATATGGGTAGAGTACATGAATTATTAGTACCTAATATAATGGGAAAATGTGTACTGTACAATATACACTATAATGTGGCCATAATTGCACCCTATCTATCTATAGGTATTATATATAATATAATAATCATTTCCCGTTTGTGCGTGTCCGATTCGAAATATTAATTCAGTAGGATTTTTTTTTTTACAATATATAATATTGTAATCTACAAAGAGTTTTTTGACGAATTAGAATTTAATAGAAAATAACTATTAAAAGATAAGTGGGAACTRGGAGGAGTGAACATGCTAGGTGAATAGGTGAATGTGTGATCCTATATACTCTGCAGGAATGTATAATAGGTACTATTTTATGTATTAGTTGAAAACATTTAAGCTTTATATTATTTTATTTAATGCTCTTATAGTCTCATCACTGTTATTCGGCTAGAAATATTAAAACATTTTTTTCATGCTCAAGTATACCCAATGCTCGTATAGGGAGGYGGGGGGACGTATGGGAACTCAGCTCTTTTGATTTTAAATAACGTTCCCATACTACATTTTCCTAAAAGAACGCACGGGTACGCCGTACGCTGCAGTATCAAATGACAATGAATATTTTTATTTTATATTTATTCAATCTTATAAAATATTAAATAAGTACTGTAAAAAATAAAATAAACTCGTAAGTGTWGGAAAATTTTATTTTATTCAATGCATTATTATTATTATTTTTAAATATTAACATTTAGAGAAATAAAATATATAAACTAATAAAAATATTGTGGTAAAGCCCCCCGCGGGTTAGTACTCAATAAATGTTCAGTTGGAACGCTATTTTTTGAATTTATACTTGAGTTCCCTTTTTTTCAATTTCCCAATTCGAGCACTGAGTATAACTACCTTTTTTTGTGTCAGACATTTGTATATATAGTACGTACCTAATGTGTGCCTAAACGTGGGTATTATGGCGAACTACTAAMTAGTGAAGTGAGCGCGTAAACCTCCCCATCGATAAGACGAGACGTCGTTGTGACAACACTAAATATTTTCATTCGGCCGTACCAACATTGAGRTGGACCCAAKTTTGCCCTCCCTTAGAAAAAAATCCTGGTGCGACAATGCAGGTCGCATATTATTTTGTGCACAGTGTAGTTGGCCGCAGCTGCAGACGTCCTGCTAAGCTGCTGTCGATTATACGGGCTTATAATATYACGATGYCATTCCATGAACCTGCTTACGGTTAGCACCATAACCGTGGTACATGGCTGGCAAACTTACCCGCGCATGAACGATACGACCGACGAGCGGCCCCCGGACGGCTGCGTTGGCAAATCGATTTTCCGGGTCCACAGTAGTACGTCACGCAGTGCGTCCGTGCCGCCGTCTAGTAGTCGTCGTTTAAAAACAAAACAAAAACCCACACAATAATCGTCAACGTAAAAAAAAAAACACCACCGGTAAAACAAAAACCGACCGACCGTCGATAACAATAATAGTATGCCTAGCTATAATATTATGTGATATTATTAGTATGTTGTGCTATCTGATGATCGATACGATGAATAATTAATAAGTAATCAAAACAGTGTAAGTGACAGACAACGCGACCGCGATTTCAAGAGGTACGGAAAAGAAAAAAAAAAGTAAAAAAAGTTACAAATCGAAATGTATGCCGCCGATTTCCATTGACCATTGACACCGCGCATAACATTATTATACCGTAGTGTTGTTTGGTAAGTAATTTTCACCCTTTTCTATCCGTCGTACCAATATACATTACACGGTCACTTCGCATGAAATATGGATTATATGGTATTGTATATATGGATATTAGATCGTCTGTAAAGCTATTCACCACAGTGTGCACCTATATATATACCTAGATATACAGGATGCAGCCGGAGATTTMTCGATTTCTCACAGAATTGGTTTCAAATAATGTCTACTCTATAGATGATACACTCTGTATACATATACGCACGTACATATCGATAAAAACACAATTTATATATTATACCATACCTATACGATTTTTTTCCTGTAATTTTAAGATTTATTTTCTCTCCACTCGCGCTACTCATGAATAAAACCCGTTCCGAGCTGATTTTTGAATAATATAAATTTAATTTTTGATGGCCATCTGGAACATGAATAATACAGTTGTGAGTTACGTCTTAAGAAAATATTTCGTTGGGCCGGGGCAATGCCTCGTGTAAGGCATAATACGTGTGCTAGGTATCGGTGWTCGGATGATATGTATATATTTTGAACGCCACCAATGTTGGATCTAAAGGTATCACTTTAGCCGTTTYGCGCGTAGACTAGTGACGTAAATCGAGCTAAATTGTTAGGGTTGCAATCAGTTTCCAGGCTAGACAGACTTGTGGTGGCGGGGGACTTAGCCCCTTACACCTATCTAAAAGTTTATTTTGTTCTAAATTTAATATTATTAGTAACAAGTATWATACAATCTCAAAAAAACTTGAATRTATCAAACTTGAATGTAGGTATTGCTTGTACGAAAAATGTTTAATAGGCACATATATATACTTAGTCTGATGCACCTGCTATAAATCGATTTCATTTTCGATCAAAAAAATATATGCAAATGATGGGTACCGATCTGATGTGTACTTATAGGTTTCGTAATGCATGCGTCAACTTTGAATCAATGATATAAAATCATTGTATACGAAAAATGAGCCTGAGCGAAGATGGTCTATTAGCCTATAATACTAAGTATATTTGATAATATTATTGCTATTTAAGTAATTTATTTCAGTATTAGTGATACAATATCTAGGTCAAATTAATTTTTGCCAAAAAATCGAGTTTGAAAATTTCATTGAATGTGTACAATATAAAAATATATTTAAAAGATTTCAAGCAATATCTACACTACATCTCACTACTAAAGATAACTAAAACAGTTATTTTTTATTTAAATATCTTATTTCGTTCAAATTTAAATTTAAAATGCTTTAAAAAAAAATTGAGTTTATTTATTTTTAGATTTTTTGTTTATGGATTGAAGTGGATCTTATTTACTTGTCAATCTTT